TCTTCTTCTTCTTCTTCTTCTTCTTCTTCTTCTTCTTCTTCTTCTTCTTCTTCTTCTTCTCCTTCTTCTTCTTTTTCTTCCTAGATCAGAACATTGGAGAATGAACAAAGGATTGTGACTCTCCTACTGATTAGCAGAATGTCTGAGACAAAGGAGGTGCTTAATGTATGTTTGCTGAATGATTAGATGGATGAATGATGCCATTAATAAACAGAATACATTGAAAAGAGGACTATATTCAACTAGAGACTTTCCCATCTAGAGACAGGTAAGTGGCACAGTGTTCAAATTCGAGTTTAAATCCCACCTTACACACTTACTAACTGTGTGACCTTGGGCAAGTTATTTAACTACCTACTAAAGTTTACTCAACTGCAAAATGAAGATAAAAATAGTAATTACCTCCCAGAGTTGTGAAGATCAAATGAGATATTTGGAAGGTACTTTGCAAACCCTAAAGTACTACATAAATGCTAGTGCTTATTAATAAGATTTTCTGTGTAGTTGGTGGAAATCCATTAATATTTTTAAAGTCTATATAGATCCAATAGTGTTGATTATAGCCATTAGTTAATCAGAAGATCCACAAGTGTACCCAACTTTAAATAACACAGGGGTAGAGGTGATGAGATCACTGGGAACATTTCACAGCTGAATTAAGTAGTTGTTATTGTCTGTGAGCAACACATTGTTACCACTAATCCCTTCATACCCACTCAGTTTAGTTCAAATAATCAAATTAGTTGTGTGTGCAGACACAGTCAGGGAAAGACCCTGCAATAAAAGAAAGATAATTAATGTTCCTGCATGTATTGTATGTAATGAAACACAAATTAGGTGCTAGATTTTTGGCCACAAACATAGAGAGGAAGCATAATGCCATCCATTCACAGTCTCATAATATGAAATAATATAAAACATTTATGATGATTGAAAACGAAGGGAAAATTATTATTTCCTCCTTGTATTTGAACACAGTTTTAAAATCACCCATGTATTCATTAATAAAGGCCAATCCCCAGTTTGCCTTAGCCTTGGTGCAGTAAACAGTGATGTAGCATCTACTGTTGGATATATGCCTTGATGTTATCAGCTGATTGGCGGTCCATAGTCAGTGAGTCACAATGGCCCAACTTGTCATGCAGGTAACTCAGTGGAGCCTGACATTCTGATAATTACTGGGGATGAATGGCATCAAATGAAAATTGGTAGGGAAAAGGGAAATCATTTACCCATGGTATTTCATTTCTGATTTTTACAAAGGACTTTTGCTTCCTAAGAGTTGCTTGAATTGTAAAATAAATTTCCATCACCTCCCCCTGGAGCACTTTGGGTTTTAATTTAATTCAGGACTCAAAATGAAAATTATTTCCCAACTCTCCCTTCCCTACTCTGTTAACTGCACTTGGATGCTAAATAGGCCTGGTAGCAGAATGGTACCAGCCTCTGTAGCAAAGCAATCCATCAGAACTTTATTTTGGAAACTCTATTAATGTTCCCTTCAACTCTTCACTTTTTCTTTACTCCTTTTTCTCCCCCCTCTCAGATTTTAGCTCATTCAAGCATGTCTCCTCTGCAAGCTACATTTTCATATTTCGTAGGTTTCAGTAAATGACTCTTTGTCTTGGGCACCTGGAGCAATACAGGGACTGGTGTTAACTACTAGATTGAACCTTCTTTTCTGTCACCTTGAGATGAGACAGCTGCAGGCTTTTGAACTTGAGAGTTTGCCCACCAGACTGGGGATCTCTATGGCAATTGGTCCTCTCACACTCTGATTCTAAATTTGGCTCCATGAACTATAAATCTGTTTATCTTAACAGTTGAGACATCTTGACAACTATTTCCTGTAACTTATGTACAGTACACATGCAAGATGTTAGCAAGCGATTTACCCCATAGTGGAAATCGTTAGCGCACAAGTGGTTTCAACTGGAGCTATGCATGCTTTTCCACTGTTTGTAATCAGTTAACATTATTTAATTGTTCCTGCCCCCTTTTTGCTGTAGCTCATTTGAAAGTATGATGACTGCCATTCTAAAATAACAAAAGCTGTGCAGGGAATTCATCTGTGAACAGTAGCTGGAATTTTTAGTTGTGATATTAATTATCCTCACGCAGAGGTTCAGGATTCATTGGGCCTGGTTACGCTGGTTTGTAATGTGCCATGTTAATAAATATAGAAAGGTTTTCACCTTTTTAAAAGAGACCATATGCATGCAGATTTTTCTCCTGTTTGTAATTTGATATTTAATAGGAGCTTCATATGTTAAATATACCTATCCTAAGTTTGGAAAACAAAAGCTAGATAACCATTTTCCAAAATTTGGACCACCAATTATTTACCCAGTCATCTTCTTCTCAGTCCTACTGTGATTCTAATGACTTAACTTCTGGCAGCCATCTCTATGAATACAGCCAGGTGAAATGAAAGAGAGAGAGCACATCTGTCTGTTTGTCAAGAATCCCAGCTTCTGAAATCTATGCCTCGTACCTGGCACATTACAATTCTGCAGAGTAAACATCATATCATTGGTTGTGATCTTCTAGGAGCAGAGACCATGTCTTCTTAACTTGCTGTGTGCAACACCTAGATGGTAATATGTTTACCAGGGTGCTAGGAATAGGATAAGCAATTATCATAGTCAAATCCTAGGTGTGCTGACCTCTGCATGTAAAGATGATGTCTGCCTACCCATTGACTCGCTGTGGATTGGTCAAGACTATGAGTTGTTTTCCTAGGTTTGCCAAGATCTATACTCGCTTGCACAACTGCTCCTTTTTCAGACACAAGCACAGCATATTTGTGAGATAGATGCCCAGGGTGAGGCCTGTATTTGGTTTTCATGGCAGAGGGTAAAGCTGATTAGTCCATAGAGGAAAGAAAGCTATTCTCTACCCAACTGAGCTAATCCATTAGACACTATTATAATAGTGAGTGCCTAAGATTTACATATCCCCTCCTCACCTGGTTAATTAAAGCATTTCCCAAATATTCTCTTTATCATTATCTCCCAGTCCCAGTCTGCTATAGCTGTTTTGGAACTTAAAGGCTTTCAGCATGATGCCTGGCACAAAATGAGCACTTAATAAATGTTTGTTGATTGATTTTTACAGAAGAGGCAGACTGGACAGGGATGATAAAAAAGAATAGGGCATATTCACTGGCACATTTAAATTCATGCAAAGAAATACTTGAGACCTAGGTAGACACACAGGAGACATGAGAGAAGAGGGACAAGGGAAAGCAATATAAACCCAAGAAAATGTAATTTCAATTAAATTAAATGAATACCAATTGCCTTCTATGTACTAGGGTCAAAATACAAAGATGTGATGCATTATAGTTCTTGCCCTCACGGTGCTTATAGTAAAAGGTAGAAAGATAGGTTGAAAGGGAGAAAGAACTCCATTTAGTCATAGGATTTCTATTTGAATCCTGCTTCTGCCACTTAATCCTATATGACTTTAGGCAAAATTTATGAGCTTTCATTTCCTTTTCTGTAAAATAAAGGCTATGGTTGATTATCTCTAAAATACTTTCAAGCTCCAGAGCCATGATCTCATGAATATATGTACAAATAAGTATGACATAGCATAGTATGTCATTAGCCAAAGGAATGATCTTGACAAGCTAATATAAGAAAATTTGAAGAGGAAAAACATTGACTCACATTGGAGATCAGAGAAGGATTTATGGAGGTGGTGGGACTTGGAAGATCACAGGATTATAGATCTAGAAGTGAAAGGGATTTAAAATGCAATTGAATCCAACTTTCTTATTTTACCAATAAAGAAACTGAAACTCAACAGTTAGTCAGTCAATAAAAATTTATTAAGTACCTACCATGTGATAGGCACTGTGCTAAGCACTGGATAGGCATAGATGAGGAGAGTACATTCCAGAGCATGGTTGGTCAGAATTCCTAGAGGTTGGAAGACACGTATAAAGACCGGGGAACAATTTGTAATCCAATATCCTACTTTGGCATTTCTGAGATTATAAAATTCTGTAGGCAACCTAATGTAGTGGATAGAAGACCAGCCCTCAGGAAGATCTGCCTCTGACACTTTTAACTATGTGGCTTTAGGCATATGACTCAAATACTTCAATGCCCTAGGCAACTCTCTAAGACTTCAAATGGCCGAAGTTGGGGAAATCTGCAGGGAGGGAATTTCCATATGACTGTTACTAGCTGTGTGACCCTGGAAAAGCATTTAACCTCTGCCTGCCTCAGTTTCTTCAGCTGTAAAATGGGGATTGTAATGGTACCTACTTCAATGTTATAAGAATCAAATGAGGTAAAATGTTCTTTGTAAACCTTCTTGTTCAGTCATTTTCAGTCATGTCTGATTCTTTGTTCATTCCAATGAAATTACAGACATAGATTTCACAAAAAAGAGAGATAGATTTTGTGACTATGGAGTGTTATTAGAATATGGGTAGAAATTAGGAAACTTTGTTTGGTGACCAACTTTACTTTTTAAGTGATTTCTGACCTTGGGCATGTTATTTAAATTTTCTGAGTCTTGTTTCCACATTCATAAAATAAAAATACTAGGCTAAAAAGTCTCAGATCTATTGATAATTTTTACAGCAATATTGTGTGCCTGAGACAGATGTCTTATTATTTGTTTATAGAATCAGTTAGGTGGTACAATAGATAGAGGACTGTGATCAGGTTCAAGAAGACCTGAATTCAAATACAACCTCAGAAACTTTTGTTGTTCTTTGTCCTTCATTTTTGAAGAGGACCAATGATGACCCAGATGATGTCTTGACTCATTTGTGAATTGGATTTAAATGAGATAGAGTTGCACAAAGTCATCAACCTTACTCTCTAAGAGTCATAGAAGTCCAGTGGCGAGATGACTGGTGATGGCTTGGCGATGCAGTAGATGACCTTGGCATCTTCTATGTCTGACCAAGATCTAAGGCTTCCACAAGCATCTGCTTCAGCCACCTTCATGGCTATTGGAATAAATTGCTCTCATTCACCCATTCCATAGGGGGCATCTTCACATGCTTGGGGTAGACACTCACCTAACTCACCGACATATTTGAGGCCTGTTTGTTACCCTCAATCTGGTTTGGCCCATCTGTCTGGACAGTTTACTGGGGTGTGGCTGCTGTGCATGCTACAGCTTCTTGGAGACACAGGTAAGAGTTGAATGCCTGGTGGACACCAAAAGTGGATAAGCAGCCCAGCAAAGGACTCAGCAAGCCTCATACCAGAGGTACTAGTCCTCTTTGAACACATATATACC